CCGAAAACTAAAAAATAAATATGAAAAAAATTCTCTCTTTAAAAAAAAAAAAAAGAAATGTTATAATAGAAATGTGAACAGACTGTTGTTGGGAGCCCCAAAAATGCTACTAATGCTTCTTAGAGAAATGAGGAAAGACAAATTGGGTTTCAGTAATCTCCTTGAGCATAGGAACAGTAACTTTTGTATTCTAGTGTCTTACATAAAGTGCTCAAAAAATGTTTATGGAATTTTCTTTTAAATTTTGTGTCTTTAGTGTGTGACTTTCTTGGAGAGAAGATTGCATCTGTTTTGGGTATTAGCACCCCAAAATACCAATATGCCATTGATGAGTATTACCGGATGAAGAAAGAGGTATGTCTCCTTTTTATATTTTTTTTTATTTGGTTTGGTTTGCTATAGATTTGATGGGTTGCATAATAAGCTTATGCAGTTGTCCAAAAGATAGCACCTTTATTTTTTGTGTTTGCTGCTGGGGATCAAACGCAGGGCCTTGCACATGCTAGGCAAGTGTTCTATCACTAAAGATAGCTCCTTTAGTTTATAAAAACAATATACATTTTAGGATTCTTTAAAAATGGAATTTCCTTAAGATCCATGTGCAAAAACTAAGTTATGTTTCATTGTGCTAGTCCTTTGTGAGTTGCCTTATATACATTAATCTTCACATACCACTTTTTGAATCATTCTAATTTTAAGATGAAGAAACAAGACTCAGCCTCTGTACTTGGGCATGTAAGACTGGATATACCAGTGTTATCAAATATGAGTATGTGCCCACTATGAAAGTGCAAAGATGTGAGGACTATTATTTCTGCAGGAGGTAGTGAGGCCTTAGGGTGGGGGATGACAGGAGTTTAGACCTAAAGAATAAGAAAGATTTAGTGCTTTAAGAACATAGGCTTAAGAACCAAAGGCTTTAAACTCAAAATCTGGCTCTGGTACTTCTAACTTCAATTTCCTTATTTTTATAAATGAGAACCACTACCTCTATACTAGGTTTAATGAATTAATGTCTCAAATGCTTAGACTAGCACCTAGTGTATATTGAGCAGTACACAAATAGATACTAGTATCTATTATTCTCCTTCAAGCAAATTAAAAATAGCAATTCAAGTGAAGTTAGTATGTAGAAGTTGTGAAGATTTACACTACAAGCCCTGTTTAGAGCCCCATTACCTCATTTGGACTATTATAATAGCTTCCTAAATGGACTATCTTAATTCTCACACCCCTAATTAATCTTCCCTGAAAGGTTACTTTGTATTAACTATCACTATCAAAGGGTACAAAACAGATGCCACCTTCTCAATTAATTTAGAGTTGAAGAACTAGAAATTACTTTTCTAAATATTTTTTATTTTTTAATTTTTTTAATATTTATTTTTTAGTTGGACACAATATATTTATCTATTTTTATGTGGTGCTGAGTATCGAACCCAGGGCCCCCCACATGCTAGGCGAGTGTTCCACTGCTGAGCCACAACCCAAGCCCCTCTTTTCTAAATCTTTATAGTACTTATTTGTTTTAATACTTTTCACCTGTCTTAACTTCCCTACTAGATTATAAACCTCTTCAGGGCAGGAACTGCCTTATTTGCCAATTTTTAAATTTAGATTAGGCTTAATCTAAATTTTTAAAAAAGCCCCTGTCAAAGTTAATTCAGGACTCATCTAAGCTAGTTCTAGACCATGTTTTAAAAAATAACTTGACTTGATTTATATTTTATATAATAACTTTTATTTTTTAAAATATTTTTTAAAGTTGTTAATGGACCTTTATTTTTTTATTTATTGATATGTGGTGCTGAGAATCAAACCAAGTGCCTCACACATGCTAGGCAAGCACTCTGCCACTGAACCACAACCCCAGCCCTAATAACTTTTATAATAATTATTTGGGGAAAAAGGGAAGGGGGAGTATGTCTTAATTAAACCAAACTGAATTGGACATGATACTGTTTTGGTTTTAAAAAAAGCATGAAAAGCTGTGGTGAGAGAAGAACTACTGTTCTTTTGGACATTAACATTTCAAGTACTGATATTTCCCATTTTTAGGAAGAAGAAGAAGAAGAAGAAAATAGGATGTCTGAAGAAGCAGAAAGACAATACCAACAGAGCAAGCTTCAGGAAAATTCCATTGTTCATACAGATCAACCAGAAACAGTGGTGTCCAGTTCATTTGTGAATCTTAATTTTGAAATGGAGGAAGACTGTGAAGTAATTATGGAAAGCAAACAAAATTCAGTCTCTGTCCCACAATAGAATGAAATGACTATCAAACTTCAAGTCTTAAAGCTTTCTTTTTTTAATACCAGGAACTTTCATATTTTCTATTTAGTGAAACTTTAATTAATTTATATTTTAAATTATTGTTATCTGGAAAGAAATGTTTCTCCATTATTAGGCTTTAACTATCAAAAATCATATCTGAAATTTATATGCACTATGCTTTTGCTGTATGTTGAAATAGTGCTTTGGTTTTTTTCCTTTTGCAGTGGGGGCATTGAACCCAAGGCCTTGTGCCTTCTAGACAAGCACTCTACCACTGAACTACACCTTCAGCACAGTGCTTTGGTTTTATGATCTTTAAAAAAGGTTAAGGACATTCTAGATTCCTAATCAATTAAGAAGAGTTAATTTTCTATTATTTGTTTTTAAAAAAAAGGTAAGTTATTGATTTAGGGTAACTGGAGCTGATAATCCTACAGTCTCAGATTAAAATGAGTATTGACCTTTCCCAGATTTTCTCATGTTATGCCTTGCATTTTATGCTTTGCATTTAATTTATTTAACCATTAATTTCATACAAAGCATGATTCACTAAGTGTGTAATAAAAGGAACAAGATGGAAGCACCCTGAATTTTCCTTTTATCGAGAATAACTTTTATGGAAAAGTATCTGAATTTACTACACCAAATATTAAAATATGTGCTAGGGATTGAATTCAGGGCATGCTAGGCAAGTCCTCTAACTCTGAGCAATATCCCTAGCCCCGAGTTTCCTTTTTTAATGAAAGTTGTTATTCAAATTAAATAATCAGCTTTGTTTATAATGTTGACATTATTTAAAGAATGAATTTATTAATATATTTGTATTCAAATGGTAAAACCTAGTGATTATCCACATAGCATCCTGGTTATATCACTCATTCAGCCCTTAATGCCTCAGACAGGCAGAGCAGTTGGGTGGGAATTGGTGTACACAATAGGTTGAAGCTATCAGAAGTTGTTAAATGTGGTTCAAGGTACATAGTAATAATGAAATTAGTTCCTTATTTCATTCATATGTTGAAGTAGCAACCTGGTTAATTAACCTGAGTTAATTTGCAAACTTTACAAAGTTATATGATATGAAGCTAATTTTGAAAATATTTCTGAACATGTGCAGAACCCCTGAGATGTGTGCATGACTTGATTTACAACTAAATGTGGATGAAGATGAATGCAATGGAGTGTTTTGGAAATGTTGACCTTAAAAGCTTTTTCAAGCTGAGTGAGTTGGTAATCCCAGCGATATGATAGGCTAAGGCAGAAGGAAGTTTGAAGCCAGCTTCAGCAATTTAGCAAGATGAGTTAAAAAAATAAAAAAGGACTGGTGATGTTGCTCAGTGGTAAAGCTCCCCAGTACCAAAAAAAAGGGCCTTTTCACAAATTTAATACTCAGTGGTTATATTAACAGCCATCTAAATAGCGTTAAGCTTAAATTTTATCTAAGTTTAAAAATACTCAAAATGCGCAGAAATCTATAACAAAATGTCATAGAAATCTATGTATTGTCAGTGTGTGTGAATTCAGTTCAACTGAAAATTGAAAAATTTCAACTGGAAGTTGAAACATCAAGTGAAAGCTGAAGTTCTTTAAATTCTTCAACTGATAATTGAATTTAGGAAGGATAAACTCTTAGGAATCTTCAGTTATGTAGATTTCAAGGCATGGTGTTTCATACTATGCGTAGTAATTTTATTCATGGTTGTAAGCTATATAACAGTGCTTAAAGGATTCTCATCATTGTGTATAATGTCACCATAAATTAGTTTATTAACAGCTCTTAAATATGCCAGGGCGACATCACTCTTCCTTCCAATGTTTTAAACTGAGAATAGTACCTATCAAGTGAAGGCAGGTGTGTTCTAAACATGATCTTCTGAATCTTCTCCTTACAGGTTCTAATGTCTAATATCTAGTTTACCTAGAAACTTTTGTGACTATAGTAGAAGGAAGACAGTGACTTTGAAAGGTTTATGTTTCTTGAATTTTACTTTCACTACATGCCCCAAAATAGCCAGTTTGTAATGTTTATAGTTATTCACTGTGCCTTACATTTTTATACTTTTTTGTTTATGCAAACTATAAAATTTCCCATAAATGCATTAAATGGTTTGTCTTATTTTAAGCCTCTTTCACTTTTTCCTACTTTTTAACAGTTCATGATATTCTGCTTCTAATCTCAAAAAAACTAAACAATTAGTATAATTAGCCTTTACTGAATTAAATAAATTTTCTAACAAAAATCCTTAAATAATATGGAATTAAATTTTATAAATGTAACTGTAGTATACTGGCTAAATAATGTAGACAGATTTCTTTTTATATCAGTGATTAGTTTTAGTAATTTTTATTGACACATCATCCTATTAAAAGAAAGATCATGTCCAAACACTTATAACCCAGAAATAAATGGCTCCACTCTAATGGAAAGTCATTTAACATCCCTGATAACATATAATGTTTTAGATGAAGAATGAAGGTTAAATGGCCAATAATTTAAACCATTCCTCAAATATTCTAATTCTGTATGAGGATCAGAAATATTCCATGAAAATTTCCTCTATCTCTAAAGATTATGCAGATTTAACTGAATATCCCTGTACCTACTGCAAATCACACTTGCCATATTTGAGCTTGAGCTAAATGAAACCAGAACTTACCTCCTAAATAAGCAGTATTTGGTCCTATTGTTTCCAAACTATATAACGAAATTCCAGGAACTGAAACACTTGCTGTGTTTTTTAGACACATTATTTTATTTAAACCATTTCTAAACAAATTCTGCTTCAAAGGTTTCACATGCAGCATTCAAGCATCTTAAGACAGTCTAGTTTTTTAGAGATCATGTATCATCAAGGTCTGTAGAATTTTCACTGTCATTTGCAACAAGGGCTTCTCTGTTTTCATAAGTCCAGAAGCCATTCAGATCAATTAGAATGGTAGTGACTGTATCTCCTTGATTACTATTGATTAAATCCTGAAGAGAGATTTTCAAAGGATCCTTTGGTTTTACCATGTCAAAGATTTCATCCTGCAAGAGAAAAATACAGTAAAATCTGATTTACTTGGTATTTATCAGTGATCTAAAATTCACAGCTGACAGTTAAGCTCTCATAAAAGTTTTTGCTTTACTTCTCTACTTGACAGGCGAGCCTTTATCTAAAATCACAGAATCTTACTGGGAGATTCCTGAGCTATGTGATTTGCTATTTCTCATTTTATAGATGAAGAAACTTAGGTTCAGAGTTTAATTCAGAGTTTAATTAGTGTAGAACTAGCTAATGCAGTGTTCTGCGAATACATACTAACTTCAAGTACTTTTCTATTCTAATTGGTGATGAAAAAACATGTTTGTTTGTTTATTTTGGGGGAGACTAAGGACTGAACCCAGGCAAGCACTATACCACCGAGCTATATCCCCAATCCTTAGTTTACTTTAAAAGAAAAAAAACTTAGCTCAAACTAAAAACTTGAATACTTCAGAAATAAGTGACAAAACTTTATTTCCAATATCAATGTCAACTTTTTACTCTAGACCGAGGATGAGAGGAGGGGAGATTTCAGTATTAAAGAATTTGTCATCCACAATGATGCGAAATTGTGCCAAAATGATTAGCATTGATGGAAGAACCACTTTTACAGTAATGAAGTGTATACTACATTTACATTATACTCATTTTCTAATATTTTTGAAGTAAAATCATTCAATATTTAGTAGCATTTAAGGAGGCAAATTACATTTTTAAAAGATTAACAATTTTCAGGTACATAAACTGTATAAACTTTTAGTCTTTCCTAGATTGGTTACAGTTTAAAATTTCTATATCTTAAACTTCCTGTTGCAGAGTTTCAAATATGCTTTGTTTATAGTAATCCAAAATAGTTCTTTATCTTTACTCAGTTGAAACTGGTCAGGGTATTTTATTACACATGTTACCAAACATGAAGAACCAAATGGTACTAGATACTGAAAGTTATTCGGAACTGGTAAAAATGATTACTAAAATGCTAGGCAACAACAGTGTTTGACATAGTGGTGGTTTTCATATTGTAGGACTGATGTCTCCTTAAATTTAATATATCAAAGCAAGTGGCTCTTTGAGAGATTATACTAAAAAAGTGCTTGAACCTAAGTAGTTCCCAATTAGAACCTGAATTTATAGTGGAATAGACTACCAAAGGATGCAAGCTAAACTGAAAAATGAATGCATGCTTCCAATGAAAACACAAGGTTGACAATACTAAAATTTTGAACTCTACAAATTAATCATGATTCATATGTCTTAATTTCCAATTATTTAAATATCAGTTCAGAACAAGTAACAGTTAATACCCATTTGGGCATTTGCTTCTTTGGGTATAGTACTTCATAGTACATAGCTTTCATATAAAATTTCATGTTCTACAAATGATTATCTGATATTAACACAATAATGTTTACTGGTAATGTTATATACATTAAAGGAAAAATTAACCTTGACGTCTTGAAATGAAACAGGATCTTGTCCATGGATTTTCATTAGTTCTTGTATGGCCTGTATTTAGTGGAAATAAATCTAAATAAAAAATAAAATTCACAATATCCCCCTTCTCGCCCCAAATATCTTTCTATTCCTTTTTCTTTCCTATCACACCAGAAGCCTTATCATCTCAATCTCTCTTAGCTGTCTTAATTTCCTTGATCTTGCTCCACATCCAGTCAGTAAAATAATAAACATGCTGGTTCTGTGTAACTACTTACCTTTCTACATCTATATCTTAACGATTAAGAACTTCAGGATAAAACAAACATTAGGACTGTGGATTCTTGCTACATGCTTGAATGTTCTCCCACTTCACATGAGCCCTCAACATGGTCATTATTCTTTTATGGCCTGCTCTTCCTATTTTCTATGAATGCTGTTCATACATTCACCATTTAAAAAAATATTTTTAGATGTAGATAGACACAATACCTTTATTTTTATGTGGTGCTGAGGATAGATCTCGTGACTCACTCATGCTAGGCAAGCACTCCACTCAGCTCAACCCCAGCCCACATTAACCATTCTTTAAGACCCCTATCCACCTCCTCCTCCCAACCCTACAGTTTACCTTCTACTTAGAAAAAATGAAAGCAGGCCTCCTTCAGAATCTTCCTTTTTATAAACAACAAGACCAAGAATGACAACAGTCAGTTGGACTAAAAAATACTTCAGGTGAGAGTCATTAATTTGGAAATGTTAAGCTTAAAAAATAGTCAATACATGTTTTTCAAATTACTCTGGATGTGGTGCCAAGTATCCCCAGTGTATCTGAAGGAGGTAAGAATTTATGAGCACACTCAGTTAATATAATAGTAGACTTGCACAGCATGGTCACCATCCAAGTCCAGCTTTATCACTGGCATATTAATAGATAATAGCTCTACATACAGTGTTAGGCTGGAGAAACTTTTTAACTTTAACCCAAAGAAACAAGCTTAAATAAACTTCATAGATTCATGCATGAAATATTTTTAAAGCAAAATTAAAAGAGGAAAAGAAAAAGATCTTTATGAAAAGGGGTTGAATGTTTAATTCCTAAAAGACATTTTTTTGTCTGCCGAAGCTCAAACCCAGGGCCTAATACATGCTAAGCAAGTCCTCTATTACTAGATTACCTCCCTATCCCTATTTTCCTTTAATATTTATTTTTTAGTTGTAGTTGGTGGTGCTGAGGATTGAACCCAGGGCCTTGCATGTGCTAAGCGAGCGCTCTACTGCTGAGCCACAATCCCAGCCCTATCCCTATTTTTCTAAGACTGAATTTTCACTTATTAGATTTGTCTGAAATGGGAGGAATCCTTTGATATGATAGTATTTTTTTCAGATTAGCGATTAATTTAAGCCTATATCACATTCAATTAGAATTGTTTAAAAATTTACTGTGCTGGGGATAGAATTAAGCCTTACAAATGCTGGGCAACAACTCTACCACTGAGCTGCAACTTCAGCTTTGCCTTAAATTTTTAAAAAATGTTTTCTAATAATGAGATTATAATTTATCCTAATATTTGCAGTCAATACTGCCTAAAATTATAATGGAAAGCTTTCTATGGAATATAACATGGAATTTATGAAATATATATTATGAATCCCTAAGGATGGATTCAGAAACCAGATAAAGATATAAATGAGTACCAAAACTTTTTTAAATGGAAAAAAAAATCCCTGGGGGCAATGATTTATGACAAAGATTTGAAAATGTCATTGTTTTTTAAAAAAATTTTCTTCCTACTGTTGGTCTTGACTGTATAAAAATCACATGGTTGGGCTGGGGTTGTAGTTGAGTGGTAGGCAAAGCACTAACCTAGCACATGTAACTGAATTTGATCCTCAGCATCACATAAATGAATAAAATAAAGGTATAAAAAAATCACGTGGTCTATGAAAATATTGGTGATGATGCAGAACACTATTGTATAAAACTATTCCATCAAGTGGAAAAATTACCATTCATATTAAGGAATTATGTGTCTTACAAGGGCAGACATTTCTACTTTTACATGTGTTGGAACTGAATGCTATCAGGTAACAATCCAATTCCATTTCAGAGCTCACTGTTACTCTATGATCTGAGACCAACTAAGGCACAAAATAAATGCTTCAGCAAATCTCTTTTGCATAGAAGTGCAGCACACAATTCTGGACAGTTTGAAATTATTTTTATAACATAGCACAAAAGAATCTACAACTAAAGTCTGTAAAGCTTCCCTGGAAAGGAGTTACTTTTCTGAAAGTCTAATCAAAGCTTAGGCTTTTACACAGTAGTTTTTGATTAACCAAAGAATTCAATTTCTCTTCTCTAAAGGCTAGTACAGCCCATAATATTTATTATTTCCATACTTTTTTTTAGTATTTACATATAATCAAATTGGCTTTTACTATTAACTTTTTTTTTTAATGGAAGGAAAAAAATCCTAACACCAGATTTGATTTCCTTCTGCAAAACAAAAACATAAAAATTTGTTTGTAAATCCTTTGTTGGATTTAAAAACCACAAGTTAGGTAAAATTGTCACTAAGTAGTTAAGTCATATGGTATAATATCTTAAGGAATAATGTTTCTTTACCCAATTGAGACTTACCCTAAAGAAATAATTAAGGGAAAAGACATTGAGGTATCCCTTATTCTCAATATCAAGCAGTTTGAAAATATATTGCAAAGCTGCAGGTTCCTTCCTGTTTTCTAATGCAAGAACAAAATCCAAGTAGGTCTTATAGTCCTATAGAAAAAAAAATGATGGTCAGTAAAGGGCTTACTTGAAATTACCTTTTCAAGTAAATGATAAAATTTATTTTGCAATCCAGGGAGGCAAATTTAAATTTTTTAAGTTAATATGAAATGATAAACCAATTGGCACATTTAATATTAGTTTCTAGAAACTCTAAATAATATCTGCACATGATAGTTTTGGGAATATTTTCTCATGAGATTAGCTGTGTATAATATTCATTATACTTTTGAAATAGTGACTTTTGAAATAGTGACTAAGTTATTATGCATCACCATTAAATTTACATCTTCATTTCAATGTGATTATTTTGAAAAAAATTTTTATCTGGAATGAATAGAACAGTAAGCTTATATTGCTGTTTTGAAATACAGTTGTATTTCTGGATTCCACATCTGTAGATTCAACCAACTGCAGACTGAAAACATGGGGTAATTTTTAAAAAATCACATTTGCATTGAACATTGATAGGTTTTTTTCCCCTTATTATTTCTTAAATAACACAGTAAAAGTTTTACAGTAGCATTTACATTGTATTATATATTATAAGTAATCAAGACATGATTTTAAGTACACTGGAAATAAGTATGTAAGTTATATGCAAATACAACATTATTACAGAAGGAACTTGAGAGCATTTGCAGATTTTGGTATCTACTGGGGGTCCTGGAACTGATATGCAGGCAGATACTGAGGGATGACTATAGTGTTTAAAAAAAAATTTTTTTTTTTGTACTGTGGATTGAACTCAGGGGCACTCAACCACTGAGCCACATCCCCAGCCCTATTTTGTATTTTATTGAGAGACAGGGTCTCACTGAGTTGCTTAGCACCTTGCCATTGCTAAGACTGGCTTTGAACTCTCTTGATCTTCCTGTCTTAGCCTCCTGAGCCACTGGAATTACAGGTGTGTGCCACCATGCCCGGCTGTTTAAAATTTTTACATCAGATGATTTCCAGTAAGAAAATTCTGTTCTCATTAAAAAAAAAAAAAAAAAAAGAATACAAATGAAAGCTAGAAAGACACGAATAGAAAGCTTTGTCTTGGAAAAGGGACATTCAGATTACTTGTTTTGTATGATTTTGGGAGATTCTCAAATTAGAAAAAAATTTATATTAGAAAGGATTTTGTAGGCTAAGAATTATTCATAAATTATACTGTAAAGAATTAAAGAAATGTAACTTCATCATTTTTCACCAGAAATTACTAGTATACTACAATACCCTCACTGTCTAATGTCAACAGCTGTGGGAGTCAGAGTTTTGGAGCCTTTTCCCCATTTTTTCTTTTGTTGGCTAACAATGGTATTACTTGGTAAATTCCTATTTTTTTAAAAATATTTATTCTTTAGTTGTAAGTGGACATAATACCTTTATTTAATTTTTATGTGATGCTGGAGATCGAACTCAGTGTACTTTTCCTCTGAGCCACAACCCCAACCCCTTGGCAAATTCCTATTAAAGCTAAATGATATAATACAAAAACCCCATTCTCATCTGTCTGATTATTTCTTAAGTCTGATTATTTCTTAAGCACCACGGGTTTGGAAAACTCATCATACATATCCTTACCATCACTCTCAACCCCATATTAGGGATCACCCAGGGCATTACAATAGCAAGTGTCAGACAAATGCTATTTTCTCAGCCTTTTTAACAATTTTATTTTGAAACAGGGTCTCACCAAGTTGCCTATGCTTGCTTTGAACTTGAGTTCATCCTTCCTCGGACTCCCAGGTAGCTGGAATTACTGATATGCACTCCCATGACCCCACACCACATTATTTTTCATAACAACAATTTTGATGTTAAAGGTTTATTTAGAATTTTCCTTTTCAAGTATCTAAAGACCACAAAGAAAAATATAATTGCATACCCCCAACTACATAAGCAGTAAATTCTTTCTAAAATTATACTCTGATTACATTTTATACTAATATAAATAGGTTAATATCAGACTTAAATTGTGGTACTGTTAGATCTGATAATTTAATGACCAGACTATCTACATGAAAATAGTTAATAGGATTAAACTCTCAGATTTCTTTTATTTTTTAGTTTTAGGTGAACACAATATTTTTATTTTTATGTGGTGTTGAGAATCGAACCCAGTGCCTCATGCATGCTAGGCGAGTACGCTATACTTGTTCATACTTCTCCTCAACAGGAGCATAACAATGAAACAAACAAAATATTAAAATTTATTATCTGTACTGAACCCATTAGGGAAGTATATTTTTACGTTAATTTACCTTACAACCAAAGGTTCTGAATATCAAGTAATTTGATTGGTTTATACTTTTAACTTGTATTAAACTATGATATTAATCTGAATTACATCAACAAAAGGGCTTATGGAAATTGCAGGAGCCTAAAATTTTAAAGCTCATCATCAGATCTGAACAATTACCATTTCTCCATCATAAGTGAGACATTCCTGGAAAACACGATCTAAGAAGACGTTGGTCATGGTTGCTGTTCCATAGCGAGACAGTTCTTCTTTACTGAGCATACCATTGTGATCCTTATCAAGATTCAAATACTGGCCTTGGGAAGAAAAATAAAAAGATGCCTATGACCAAAAATTTTTAATTAAAAATAATAGAATAGACATTAATAAAAAGTACTTATTATTGGTTAATATTTTGATTTTCAAACTATGTTACAGGTAGGGTAGTGGCTTAAGTGTGATAACATCAGCTATTTTTAAAATTTTGATTAGAACAACCATTAAGTTAGAACTGGTCAAAAAAAATCATGAAGGCCAGGGCCTTTGGCTATTTTAATTACATCTTTGTCTTCAGTTTGCAACATTTAAAATATTTCTAGGGTCTAAATTAGATGGAGGGAGGGGTCGAGAAAAAAACACTAAAATGCTATCAACTTGGAAGAACAGATCATGGATCCCAAAATGTGTCAGAAGACGACTTAACAGGTTAAATGTGGGTAACATGAAATTTGATAAAAGAGCAAACCTATCTCTAGAACACCTCCCTCTGTGAATTCTGAGAACAGCATTTTATCACAAAGTAAGACAACAGTTGATATTCATAAACGGTGTTCCTTAGTCAATAAGAATCAAATTATATCTGTTCTATTGAAAAGTATAGTAATTAAAAAAGATTCCTAAATTAAAATGCTAGTATTTGAACAAGTAAATCTTTAGTAATCTACAATACTGTTATTTAGAAGTTCTGGAGATCAGATCCAGGGCCATTGCACATACTAGGCAGATGCTTTACCACTGAGCTACATTCCTAGCCCCAGAATGCTTTAAGACAGACAAGATGGTGTATACCTATAATCTCAGTGACTTAGTAGACTGAGCCAGGAGGATCAAGGTTAGGCAGGCAGGAAAGTTCAAGGCCAGCCTCAGAAACTTAGTGAGGCCCTAAGTAACTTAAGGAGACCCTGTCTCAATAAAAATATAAAAAGGGCTGTAGATGTGGCTCAGTGATTAAGCTCCCCTGGGTTCAATACCCAGTACCCCCCCCCCCCCAAAAAAAAAAAACTTTGCTTTTAAGGCAAAATAGTCTATGTATAAAACTGTCTTCTGAGCACCAATGGAGAAATGGATAACTCAAATTTTAGCAATATGATGGAGAACATACCATAAACCCTTAGGGCAGAAGGAGCAGAAAACCAATTTGTTTCTTGACTCTCTTTGGATAGTTCTTCATCCCTTAACTAAAGGGAAAAAGAGACATTAATAGAGAATAGTTATAGAATGGCAGTTATCAAAAATACAAACAATAAGTGTTGGTGAGGATGTGGGAGAAAAGGCACACTCATACATTGCTGGTGGGACTGCAAATTGGTGTAACCACTCTGGAAAGCAGTATGGAGATTCCTTAGAAAACTTGGAATGGAACCACCATTTGACACAGCTATTCCACTCCTTGGTATATATCCAAAAGACTTAAAATCAGCATACTATAGTAACACAGCCACAGTCAATGTTTATAGCAGCTCTTTTCATAATAGCTAAACTGTGAAAGTAACCTAGATGCTTCAATAGATGAGTGGATAAAGAAACCATGGTATATACACACGATGGAATACTACTCAGCATTAAGAGAATAAAATTATGGAATTTGCAAGTAAATGGATGAAGTTAGAAAATATCATGCTAAGTGAAGTAAGCCAATCCCAAAAAACCAAAGGTCGAATGTTCTCTCTGATAAGTGGATGCTGATCCATAATGGCAAGGAGCATAGGTAAAATGGAGGAAGTCTGGGTAAAGGGGAGGGAAAGAGGGTGGAGGTATGGAGGCAGGAAAGATGGTGGAATGGGATGGACATTGTTACCCTAGGTACACTTGTGACTGCATATATGGTGTGTTGCTACATTGTCTTACAATCAGAGAAATGAAAAGTTATGCTGCAACTGTGTACAATGAATCAAAATGCATTCTGCTGTCTCATATACCTAATTAAAATAAATAAATTAAAAAAAGAAAATAGTTAATTATCAAGTGATATAATTAAGTAGTTAAAAAAAGTATTTACCTCCAATAAGTCATCCAGGAAGCTGCATGCTAAAATATCTTGAATTTTAATTTTTCCTTTAAAAAACATAAACACAAATACTTAATTTCATTTTAAGAACAAGAGCAACTTAATTTGTTAAAGTTTATTATTTTACATGAGCTATTACACAATTGATATTTTAAAACTTCTAGCTCCAAAGTCCTTATTACATATTACTACAAAAAGGGAAACATTTAGTAAAAGCTGTATGTATATATTTACTTTTATACTCCCAAATATATGTCTAAGCTATAAATTCTAAAATTATCAGAGTCACAAAAAAGTAGTCAAAAATTCTGTGAACAAGTTGGGCATAGTGGTGCCTGCCTGAAATCCCAGTGACTTAGGAGGCTAAAGCAGGAGGATCATAAGTTCAAAGCCAGCTTCAGCAACTTAGTGAGGCCTGAGGTTACTGAGCAAGACCCTGTCTCAAAATAAAAAAATAAAAAGGGCTGGGAATGTGACTTAGTTAAGCACCCCTGGGTTCAATCTCTGGTACCAAAATAAATAAATAAAGAAAGAAAGAAAGATTCTATGGCAAAGATATAATACTGTTTATAAAAAAATAAGAAAAGAAGGGCTGGGGTTGTGGCTCAGAGGTAGAGCGCTTGCCTACCATGCGTGAGGCACTGGGTTCAATCCCCAGCACCACATAAAAATAAAATAAAGGATATTGTATCCACCTATAACTAAAAAAAAAAAAAAAAATTTAAAAATAAGGAAAGGAGACAGACAGTTTCTGTTTTTCTTTGATAGATTCTGGAATAGGAAGCAAAACAGAAGTATTGTTAAGCATTGACAGATGGGGGCTGGGGCTGAAACTCAAGTGGCAGAGCACTCGCCTAGCACATGTGAAGCACTGGGTTCGATACTTAGCACCACATAAAAATAAAATAAAATAAAGGCATGCTGTCCATCTAAAACTATGAAAAAGTGAAAAAAAAAAAAAAGAGTTGACAGATGGGAAGATAACTACTTCTATAAGAAATGAAAGAATCCAGGTAAAATGCTTAGCATAGTGCCTTGTTTATAATAAATATTCAAAATAGTTTATATTTTATAAGCTTTCAAAAGGAAAAGATGTGTATGCACCTACACCTGGAGGAGTTTAAAAAGATAATCCGGTACTATGTGTTGTAATGGACTTATTGCTGGGTTTTCAAGAAAAGGAGGAGAATCAAAAGACTTTGGGCCTTCTCTGACCCTTCCTCTGCCTTAATTACATGTATTTTAGTCTGGGCAGGTTAAAATAGTTGATAAAACAATACTGTCACCAAGGCCAAACTTACTAATCTGATTCCTATATAGGATAGTTATCTTGGGAAAAATCATCTTGGCTCTCTAGTATATCACATATCAGGAACAGCAAATTATATCAGAGTAATTGGTTTCTTAGAACTGAAAAGAAGCGTAATAATTGATTACCTAATTTGTACTTTTTCATTTTAGGGACAAACTGAGAGAGGTTAGGTGACATCCCCATTATCACAAAATTTTTATAGCCAGTACAAATAAATCATAAAAGATCTTTATATAAACCTAAACGAAAGCTTTAAAAACAATCCCGTACTCCTTTGATATTCACCAGATTATTAGTGATAATGACATGTTAGGAAAATAAATAAATGACATTTTTCAAGACTTCTCTAATTCTTGAGACTGAGATATAATAATATTCTCATAATATCCAAGTTACGTAAGATTTACCTGTTCTTAGAGGGTCCAGAAAGAAGAAAAATTTCCTAACTGCTGTACAAACATAAAAGGAGTAAAAGGATTTTTCCAGGCCATCTAATTGTGGCAAAGTAGGGATAAGTTCCAATATATAGTTTTCTAAATCCTAAAAACAAAATAAAATAAAATTTTAAAATGTTAAATGTCTTTTTTTTTTTTTTTTAAGTGTGTGTGTATGTTGGGGGCAGGGTACTGGAACCTAAACCCAGGACACTACCACCAAACTACATCCTTGACCCTTATTATTTTTTATTTTGAGACAAGGTCTCACAAAGTAACCCAGGCTGGGCTTGAACTTGCGATCCGCCTGCCTTGGTTTACTGAGTAGCTGGGATTACACCATGTCTCGTTAAATATCCATCTTGATTCTTTATTAAATACTGGAATACAATTTATGTCCTAAAAAGTTATTTGGCATTGGGTCAGGTATTGAGTTTCATGCCTGTAATCTCAGCCACTCAGGAGGCTAAGGCAGGAAGTTCACATATTCAAAGCCTGGATAACTTAATGAGATTCTATCAATATTTATAAAAATTAAAAAGTGGACTGAGGATGTAGCTCAGTGGTAGTGTGCCCCTGGGTTCAATCCCCAGTACTGAAAAAAAAAAAAAAAAAAAGAAAAAATGTAAAACAAAAAACACAAACAAACCAGCATTAATACTATATAGATGACAAAACAAATTAACAATCACGTCAGCAGTGAAACATACATTGTTTCTACTAATTTACCTTTAAAAATTTTTTAACATTATTTTTAATAAGTAATACATTTGATATAGTTTTAAATTTGAAAGGAACAAACAAAAACTCATAAGTCTTCTCTCACCTCCTCTCCCAACAAGTAATCTATATTATCATCTTCTCTCTCTTTTTAAAATGCATTTTATTATGTTGCTTAGGGTAGCTTGAATTCCTGTGCTCAATAGATCTTTCTGCCTCAGCCTCCAGAATAACTGGGAGAACAAATGTGCACTATTTCATCAAGCTCAAATGATCAACTTCTAATGTGGCTTTCCAAAGACGATGATGCAATTACAAGTCTACACATATCTATGCATATTTCTGCCTCTCTTTTTACACAGAATGTAGCTGTATACCATGAAAAATGCTTTTGTCATTTAATAGTATATAGTCATTCATACTGGTTCTCAAAGAGCTACTATTTTAAATAACTTTATTATTTCATTTTATGGATGTACCATAATTTATTTAACCGGGTTTCTACTGACAGACATGTAGGTTGTTTCTCATCTTACTACCCTAAAAACAGTACAAGAAAGGGCTAAGCTAATTTTTAATTGTAGATATTATAGAAGAATACAGGATCTAATTTCTGTAACTGGAACTGCTGGGTCAAAGCATATGCATAATTATAATTTCCATCGACACTGGCAAACCTCCCACCTTCTCCATAAACACTATATGCATTTGACATTCCTGCCAGTGACTAGAAGGCTATTTCCATAGTTCCCAAATTATGCGCCTCCGTGCTTGGGAACTCACAGGGCAGCAGTAGGATATTTTAAAATTTTGAGGAGAAACAATGACATCTGTCAAATACTGCATGACAGACATTGTTAGGACTGGCTGAAAGTGGTTCATGTTGCAATATATTTCATTTGTAACAAATCATTGCAAAGCTAGGTTTTTAATGGATTTTGTGATAAAGCAAGTACCACACAAAATTCAGTGTAGAATAGAAAGTGAGGATTACTGTGTCCAATCTTGTTCCAAGTTTGAGTAGTTATATAGTGTTCAATAGGCACACACATCCTAGTAGTAACTGCTATGTAAGAATGAAGAAAAATATTTTTTTCAACTTTGTATTTTTTCAAGTGGCTGAAAGAATACTTAATACTTTCATTAACTTGTTTAGAACTATCTGGTTAATAAATGGAACTGTTAGGGATTTCTTTTGGGCCAGAGGCTCTTACCAAGAGAATCTCATTAAAAGCATTATCAAATTTTTTGATCTCTGTTTATCTGACAGGTAAAAAAAGGTACCTTACTATAGATTTATCAGGCATTTTCTTATGTGAAGTTAAGGCTTTTTCTTATGATTAAGAAGCATCTGTGAGTGGGAGATGATGTCGGATTAGAGGACAAATGTACTTCTCAGCAGCTCCTTAACACCAGACTTACAAAGCAGAAAGACAGTTTCTCAGTAACTAAGGGAACTCACTGAAAATAGTGAACTATAAAAAACAAAAAACAAAACCAACCAACTAACCAAATAAACAAAATTATAGAGACACAGAAGTCAGAAACTTGAACATTAGAAATAATTTGTTAGAGAAGTGCCAGCGTGGGCATCAGCATGGATACCAGCAGTAGAGGAAGGGGAGGTACAGCACAAAGGACACAGTGTGGCCAGCAGATAAAAAATTAAAAAATTAACTTGGGGTAACCTGTGGATTTGAGAGGAAGTCTGATTTTAACAGACCTAGAGTCTGTTAGGAGAAGGGATTCAGTGAAAGTAAATCCAAAAATAACTCCCACAGGAGAGGAAGCACTTTGGGGACAGAGAACTGCCACTGCTGTGGCACTCTCCACCGCTGGCACTACTAGAGAAAGTGGCCCCCACCACCTGCAAAAGCCACCTTGTCCCCAAGCCCTGCACCAACAGACAAGAGATTGGGGAACCCTTGCAGCTAACCAAAACAATTCCTAGAAGGCACCTGAACTAAAATAGGGACAAAGAGAATTTGCCTGAACCATTCAGCCTATGGATCCTAAGGGAGGGAACTTCCTCCCATTGTTGCTTATGCTTCAGTGGTCACCAGGAAGAATCTGCACTCCAGGGCAGAAACCTGGTATTTCATATTCATAGCTGTGAAGGTAAAATGTGTGGAGATTTTGCTCCTATGCCTTAAAAGTGGATGTTATCAGGGACCCTAGAAATCCAGACATCCTGCAGAGACTGGTGTCACCCCAATAGCGGGTGTAGAGCAATTCTCAAACAGCCATTCACAGAGTTTCAAAGTTCAATCTAGACTAAACCTTAATACTGGAATATTCAATTCAGAACTCTGCAACACCCCTGCCACAGAACACACAATGTGTCTGCACCAAAACTGTGCTACTTCACCATAAACCAGAAGCTAAGACTAGAAGCACAACCAGCTGTAACTCCTAGCCACAAAGCTTAGCAGTTAAGTGAGGAACACAAAGGCACTGGGATTAACAACCTCCAATTCTTGACCCAAGGGTTACAAAGCCAAAAACAAATATGAAGAATGAAAATCCACTGCAGCCAACAGTTTTGACCACCACCCTGGAAATAAGCCCTTTATTTCTCACCAGGATTTTTCTTTATTTTTTTTCCTCATTTCATCTTCATATTTCCATTTTTAAAATATTCTTTTTAAACTTTTAAATTATGTAAAAAAACTTTTAAAAAATATTTTAATTTTAATTTTTTTAGTTGTAGATGGACATAATACCTTTTTCGTTTTATTTATTTATTTTTATGTGGTGCTAAGGATCAAACTCAATGCCTCACAATGCTAGGCAAGTGCTCTACCACTGCGCTACAACCCCATCCCCAATTTTTAATTATTTAAAATTTTTTTCAAACATTTAATCATAAATGCATAAATAAAATGTACACAATTGACTTTTATTCAATCATAAAGAAAAATAAAATTATATCATTTGCAGGAAAACTGATGGACCTTGAGACCATTACGTTAAGCAAAATAAGCTAAACTCAGAAGGTCAAGGGTTGTATATTTTCTTTCATATGTGGAAGCTAGAGAGGAAAAAGGAAAAGAAAGTTGGGTTGTCTCATGAAAATCAAAGTGAGATCAGTAGAAAAGAGGAAACAGATTTGGAGGTAGGAAGAAAGGAGGGAAGGGGGAAATGCCAAGGAGTAATACTGGTCAAATTATATTATTGTGTGAATATACAAATATGTAAGAACAAATTCCACTATTATGTACAACTGAATTGCACCAATAAAAAAGATGGAAAAAAATTTCATCATATTAATTTTTACATTTTTTTGTATTATTTATGATTTTTTATGAGTGTGTATGTGGGTGTGTGTGTGGGTGTGTATGTACTCACTATACACATAGGTTTAAAAAATGTATGTATAGTTATCTAATTTTACTTTCATGAAAATTGCTTCCTTCTGCATCTATTTATTATTTAGCCTTGATTTGTCTTAGCTCAGTGAGGTTCAATTATATGCAGGTTTGAGTTATTTTGATCTTACAATTAATGGTTTGTCCATACTTAACTTCTTGTCCATCAATTTTTCCTGATGCCATGTCCTCTTTCTTAATTACTTTCTGCAAATCTTTTATTCTTTCTTTTTTAAAGCCACCATCTGTACCTATTACCTGCCTCTAATGATCTCTTTTTAAAAATATTTCACTTTCTTTCACCTTCCTACTGTATTTTGTCTTAAACTGGAATCCCACTAAATAACAGAATTATATAGTTAATGTAATTCATACCTCATTCATATTGTTGTGATTATTAATATGGGGCACAACACAGTAGACAGGTGATGTTGAATACTTGATTTGGCCTACAATTTTGTATTGATGGCAGTAATGTTAAATGCTGACCCCAACCTTTCTTATATAGGTGGCAATTAGATATCAAAGTAGACACCAGATATTTATCTCAAAACTATACATCTATAACTGACATAAGTGCTAGTCCTGGCTCCCTATTTCCTCTACAGGGGAGACACTTCAAGATCACAGAGTAGATATCCTGGTATTGAGAAACAGTTACAACTCAGCCAAGCAACAGTAAATCTCATTCCACATATGATCTAGCCCCACCGGATCCTAAACATTACTTCAGCTCATAGAATTGGGGAAAGAAAAACCCCAAATCAAAAACTAGGCCCCAGGGCTGGGGATGTGGCTCAAGCGGTAGCACGCTCGCCTGGCATGCGTGCGGCCCGGGTTCGATCCTCAGCACCACATACAAACAAAGATGTTGTGTCCGCCGAAAACTAAAAAATAAATATTAAAATTAAAAAAAAAAAAAAAAAAACCTAGGCCCCAAGGAAAAACAATCAGAGGAGAACTTTAGGTACTCCTTGACATCTACTCATATCAAAAACAGACAGAAATCCTAGAACAA